GTAAAATGATAACCATTGATAATTTCCTACCATTTTGTCTGTAATTTGCTAAGTCCCCCCTATTATTATGTTATCCTTCTTTTATTCTTTAAAATAAAAAATTTAAAAAGAAAAAAAAAAGATTCTGAAATGGGAATAGATAGTTTACTAAAGTCTAGAGAGGCGCATAAAAATAACACATCGATTTTAACTTAAAATAAAAACTCAGAACACTGGTAATAGCAGCCTGCAATGTTGTGTTGGGAAGAACTCTTAAAAAAAAAGTGCTGGGATTAATTAGTAATGTCTGCCATGTACTCCAGAATGGAAGACGGCAGGGTAGTAGATTGAAGTTGTTTGAAATTATTGTTTGAAATAGTTTCCTCTCTCCTTTCCTACCCATGCCATGTGACTGATGGTGTCTCCTGTAGAAGGAGTATCTGCCTTATTTTGTTGACTTCGGCCTGGTCATGTGTTTCATGTTTTGTGGATGGGATGTGAGCAGATATGACTTATACTATATCTGAGAACCCAAGTTTTCTCTTGTGCTTCTTCTCTGCCATTAGAATGGGCATATTCCATGCGAGCGTTTCTCCTTCTGCCTGGCTCTGGACTGAGAAGCCTTCTGGGCAGAGTGCAGTCTACTTACAGCCTACATTGCATATAAGTCAAAGATAAACCTTTGTTGTTATATGTCAATAAACCTATGTTGTTCTATGAGCTTTTGGAGTTGCTTGTTATTTCAGCAAAGCTGACTGATATCTATGAATGAATAATGGCAGATAAATTATGAAAGGTAGATTTAAGCCAGAGGTAGTTGAAGCCAGTGTAGACAATCTTCAATGCCAAGTGAGGCAGTGCTTACTATGTGTTTATCAGAACTTGCTTCTTTTACTTGGACACACAGCTGGATCACATTTTCTAGTTCCTCCCCTAGTTGATATCTTTTACTACCCAGATTTGGTCTATGAAACCTCCCAATGGAGATGCTTCACGCTCTTTCCCTTTGGGTTTGATGCAGATGACTTTAAGCCCAGTGATCTTGAAAGTCACATGTTAAAGACACTGGAGCTGCAGGGTAGAAAGTACCTGGTTCCCTGAACTACCACTTGGCAGAGAGCTGTCCACTAAGAAGGATCAAGTATTTTGAACTTTACTTGAGCAATTACTTGTAGCTAGTGTTTTCTTAATCATTTCATCGGGTT